GTGTGTGTCTGTGTGTTTGTGTGTGTGTACGTATGTATGTGTGTATGTGTAAATATATATACATATATATATATGTGTGTGTGTGTGTGTCCGAGTGTGTGTGTGTGTACGTATATATATGTGTATGTGTGTGCTTGCGTGTGTGTTTGTATGTGTGTATATAGGAGTGTGTATATATGTGCGTATGTATGTATGTGTGCAGGTGTGTGTGTTTGCGCGTGTGTATGTGTGTGTTTGTGTGTGTGTGTGTTTGCGCGTGTTTATGTGTGTGTATGTCTGCTTGTGTATGCGTCCGTGTGTGTGTGTGTAGGGGCGTGTGTGTGTTTGCGCGTGTGTATATGTGTGTGTGTATGCGTTTGTGTATGTGCACATATATACATGTGTGTGTGTGTGTGTTTTCGCGTGTGTGTGTACGTGTGTATGTATGTGTGCATGTGTGTGTGTGTATATAAGTGTGTATATTTATATATATACATATGTGTGTGTGTGTTTCTGTTTGCGCGTGTGTATATGTGTGTGTGTGTTTTATATGTGCGTGTGTTTGTGTGTGTGTGCGTGTGTATGTATGTGGGTGTTTATATGTTTATATATATACACACACACACACATACACATATATATATGGGCGTGTGTGTTTGTGTGTGTGTGTTTGTTTGTGTGTGTGTGTATGTGTGTGTTTGTGTGTGTGTGGTTGTGTGTGTGTATGTTTGTGTGTATGTGTTTGTGTACATCGTTATATATGTGTGTGTGTGAATGTGTGTGCGTTGTCTGTGTATACTTTATTCCCTGCTAAACAAAAAAAAATACATAAGTAAAATAATAATGATATTAAGACTGTATGTTTAGTATTATTTCGCTATCAATTAACATTTTTGTCGTTATTTTAAGCATCAACAAGGAAAGTACTCCGTGACCCCAAAGCAGATATGGAAATGATCGAAGAAATGTAAACATTTTTGAACAGATATATGCATTTCTCTTCGCTCACGCCGACCCATTTTCATTTCCATTTCAGCCGCGCGAGGACCCCTGTCGGTGAAGTCTTACGTTTAGACAGCTGAAAACGTCCTTCGTTGAAACCATCTGGGATTCCCAATCTTGTCCTTGGTACTTTACTGTTTCGCTATCGGGTATTGCCATATAAGTGCGTAGGATTTTTTAATTCCCTTGATGCCCAATTACCATTAGGTATACATGTATTGAAAATGCCTATAACGCAAATGGAGTTGTTATATCTTGTGGGAATAGCAGATAAGCTGTGAGTAATGTATAAGGAAGCATCTATGCAGCCATCTCCCTCCATATGGCAGTCTCGTCCAGCATGTGCTTATATAGCCGGCCCTGTCCTCGTCGAAGCCAGACTCGGCAATTCTAACTGCTGAACTGAACTCCTCGGGAGTCTGTGGCAGCCGGAACAGCGTCAAACAGACAGTCAGCGTTAAGAGAGAGGTTTCCCCTCCTTCAGGAACTTCAATTCATAACACATTCAAGATGCGAGTGTCTGTCCTCAGCATGGCCCTCGTGGTGGCGTTGGCTGCGTCCCTCGCGCCGCAGTGCCAAGCGAGTGGCTGGGAGGCGCTGGTGCCGGCCATCGCGAACAAACTCACTGGGTGAGTGAATGATTTTGTTCCTCAAGCTTGATACCTGTCTATCAGTGAACTAGTTTATATTTCAAAAGATCTTCCTGGGAATAATGAAATTCATTGCCTTTCAGACTGTGGGAGAGCGGAGAGCTGGAGCTGTTAGGACACTACTGCAACTTTAGCGTGACACCGAAATTCAAGCGCTGGCAACTGTATTTCAGGGGTCGCATGTGGTGCCCAGGATGGACAGCCATCAGAGGCCAAGGTACACCGAGATTCTGCAACAGGAACAGCGAAAGGAAGAACAAGAAAACACAGGAATATGCCGAAGGACTTTCGCTACTGCTATGTCAAGACATACATACATGTGTGCCCTGACGAAACTATAGCGAAAAGGCCTTCGGCATATTCGTATGTTTTCTTGTTCTTCCCTTCGTTGTTCCTGTTACAATTTGTTTGTCATGAAGTCCACACCGAGATTCTGAATTGTTATACTGCTTAGCTCTCTAAACAGAAAGAAATTTCATTATGACCATTGGACTATCTATCACCATAGTTTCTCCTAGCCTCATATCAATCTTTTGGTCACAATACACTAACCTTTCGCTCCCACCCACAGCCGAGACCCGTAGCAGATCGGGCGTGGTAGGCAGAACGACGCAGGACTTCGTCAGGAAAGCTTTCAGCGCGGGTCTCATCACCGAATCAGAGGCCCAAGTTTGGCTTAATAGTTAAGGCGAAGAAGAACGACACGCAGATATAATTTATAAGAGCGCCATGGAAGGGATCTCATTAATGGTATATCCAAATTCTTCCGCGAATGTTGATACCTCATCCAATAAACAAGTAATATAATGAGATAAGCATTTTACTACCTCTCGGTATGTATACGGACATTACAATAATTCTATTTCTCTCTCTCTCTCTTTCTCTCTTTCTTTCTTTCTCTCTCTCTCTCTCTCTCTCTCTCTCTCTCCCTCTTTATCTATCTATCTATATATCTGTAACAAATTGATGAAAAAAATTCTTAGTTCAAGACATCGAATAAAAAAGAAAAGAAAAGGATACCATCACAAAGAGGAAATCGAGTTATGAAAATCTCAATATGTGAAAAAGCAGGACACAACAACACAGGAACAAGATTAGGAATAAGAATGGCAGTCTGAGGACTAAACAACCTGGTCTACAAGTGTCACAGTATAGTCAGTATCTATAGACGTATGTAGATATGCATAAATACATATATACATTTATATATATATATATATA